CCTCCCCCTCCCCCTCCCCCGGGCCCTGCGCCATCACCTCTGTCGTCACCGTCGCCTCTGTGATCGCCTCTGTCGTCAGCGTCACCTCTATCATCGCCCGTGGATGCATATGTTCCCGACGCAAAGAAATCGTCGTCGTCGCTGGATGTGCTGTCAAACGAGAAGTCACCCTCGTCCCAACGCATGCGGGCCCTGCAAATGCCACCATTCATCCGCTGTCGCCGAGTCCGAGGAGCGGAACCCGCATCGCCACGTGTACGTCCTCCGACACCTGCTTGTCCACGGCCGCCACGTCCCCGACCACCGGCCCTGCGTCGCCTCCTGTCCGACTCCGCTACCCGACACTCGGCTCCCATGCGGGAAATGGCGCGCGTTCTCTCTCTGGCGAGGCTCAACTCCTCCTCGGTCACCTTCGCCAGAACACCGGTGCCTCTGACGAGCTGCTGGTCCACGGCTGCCTCGTCCTCCACGGCCTGCCAATAATGCACCCATTTCCCGAAGACGTCGGACCTCTCTCCAACACCATCATCGCACAACAAAGGTCGATCGAATAGCCTGAGGTTCCAGTGGCACCGCACAAGCTTCTCAGCCCGGGGAACCTCCAACTTGTTGCGAGACTTCGAATGAATGAAGCTCCAACGAGACCACGCTCTCTCGCACGGTGAGGCGGTCGCCCATATACGAAGGATCATGCCTGCAAACACAGCCGTGTGAGGGAACTTCGCCTTCTTTGAAGACCAAAAACAGGCAGGGTGATCAAAGATATCCGCAGCTCGCCGCATGGTGAGCTCATCGAAAGGGGGCTCCCTCGTGTGGAGCTTGGCGACCGCTCGTTGGACCTCCCGGTGCTGCGGCGAATCCTCCGGGTAGCCGAACTGGACAAGGGCCTCACCCAAGGCCTGCTGCACCTCCGCATCGTCACAAAGCATCGCGTCCCGGAACTCTGGATCTAGCAGCATGGCTGYCGTGTGGGCGGGGGTCTTGAACATGGTGCGCCGCCTGTGGAACACCTCCACAATAGCGTCCTGCTGCTCCCGATCAATATCACGACATGCGGATAAACAAGATGCAATCATTTCCTCGTAACGTCGCAGAATCTTGCTGATCTGGCGTGTGTCGCTGTCCACSAACTTCAGCATGCCCATGATGGGCTCTAGCATCTTGCACAGAGCTCTCAAATCCTCCCACCATGGAGGGGAGCCGATACATGCAGTGACCTCCGCTGCATCCTTGCGGATCTTGCTGGTCGACCAAACAGTCTCGCGCCAGCGATCGTCGGCCACAACATCTGTCAACGCGGCCCGCAGTGCCACCAGCCTCTCCATCATGATGACGTTCGTGCCGAAACGCGTCTCCGCCGGTAGCAGAAGAGTCTTCGTCGAGTGCGCCTCAAGAACCTCTCTCGCATGTCCATGGCGCTTGAAGAACCTTGTAACCAGCCTCGCTTGAGAAATGCGGGAAGCCATCCAATCAATCCCTTGATGTCCTCGAGAATGAGATCCATGATGTGGGCGACGCAAGGAATCCAGAAGATGTGTTTCACGCTCTCATCTTTTTGGAATACCTCCATCGCCGTGACGTTCACCCCGATGGAGTCCGTCACGAACGCCGTGATGTCGCTCAATTGAACGTCCATGGACTTCACCCTTTTCAACCATGCGTTCGCGAGGGCACTGGTGTCCTTTTTGCCGCACATGACGTCGGTGGACACATACACCACCCCGATCTCTGTACGAACAAGGTAGTTGCACAACGTCTGACCACGGTTGTTGGTCCAACCATCGGTCATGATTGTGGAACCGGTCTCTCTCGACGTGTCAAGCACCGGCCGAACACACTTCTGGACCTCACCATCCAGCTCGTCCAAAAGGGTCGTGCGCAGCATGTGGTACGAGGGAAGTCTAGGCGCGGCGGGATTATCATCGTGAACATGCATTTGAAGCTTTCAAGCTTCGTGCTGTTGAACGGCATCCCGCTCTCGACGATGAACCGCATGATTTGCAGATGCCATGCGCGCTCCAAAGAGTCCGAATAATATGACGTGACGACTTGTTGCCTGTAAGTGCCCCGACATCGTCCCGTCGTAGCTCTCCCGCCGAGGACCCCAGCACCCAACAACCCGCCAGGGCTCACAGGTGTCGCGCTCTGGGCGACTGCAAGGTCACGAATGCGCTGCAAAGGGTCCAACGTTCCGGTCAACACGGGTGGAGGCTGTAGGGCAGACCGACCACCGCTCGTGGTTGTCAGAACAGGGGTCGGCGATGAATCGGACACCGGAGCGGGGACCTCCTCGGCAGGCACCCCATGATCCACCTGTTCCCCGAAACGAGGCACGGAAGCAGAATGTCGAGCATCTGCAGGTGCGTATGACGGATCCGGGTGGGCGGTTCCGTGAGCGTGGTGGACCACTGGACGCTGCGCCGCTCTCGACGGTGACGGTGGCAGCCAGGGGTGCTCCGACGAACTGCGGGGTGATGCGCTAGGTGCCACCGCAGTACCACCCCGTGCGGCATCTGACTGCCTAGCACTCCTAAAAACAGGGGTGAGCGTCGGCGCTGAACTGCCGGCACTCCCCCCCCACCTGCGACTCTCAATAAATGCACGTGTGCTCTCCTCGTCAAATGCCGCAGAGCCCACACCATCCCTCAGAGGCGGGGGCTCGTTGGCTGGCGTGGAACGACCAACTCCCACATCGCGAGCACCTCGTGTCCCAGCCAGCGGCGCAGACGGCGGGGCTGCCGGTCGTGTTGCAACTGTTGCTGCAGGACGCGGTGTTGGGAGATAACCCGGGGAGGGGCTACCTACCGTTCGCTGAAGCCATGGGCTACGGCGCCTGTCACTTCGCCGCGCCCGCTTCCGAGGTCCTCGGCGATCAGTACGGTGGGGGGGGCCAATCGAGTTCAAGATCTGTCGAGCCCCGTCGTCACACAACGTTCTTCAGCAATTAGGGAGAGTATGATAGATTACTAAATATTTAAATAAGATTAAAGAAATAAGTAAGAATAATAAATAAATAAAAGAGTAGCAAAGTTAAAACTGGCACTCTCTCTCCCTCTCTCTGCCTCTGTCTTTCTCAGTCCCTGTCCCCCTCTCTCTGCGTGAGTCTGCTCTCTCTCTCTCTTTCTCTCTCTCTGTCTCAGTCCCTGTCCCCCTCTCTCTGCGTGAGTCTGCTCTCTCTCTCTCTTTCTCTCTCTCTCTCTCTCTGTCTGTCTCAGTCCCTGTCCCCCTCTCTCTCTGCATGAGTCTGTTCTCTCTCTGTCTCTCCCTCTCTCTCTCTCTGTCTGTCTCAGTCCCTGTCCCCCTCTCTCTGGGTGAGTCTGCCCTCTCTCTCTCTCTTTCTCTCTCTCTCTCTCTCTGTTTGTCTCAGTCCCTGTCCCCCTCTCTCTCTGCGTGAGTCTGCTCTCTCTCT